AATGGATCCGATTGCAATGCGTGCTTCAGCTTGTCCAAATCCAACTCACGGGGTCTCCCAGAGCGATCCTTTTCATCGAGCGAGAAGTCATCTTTTTCGAAACGATGGAACCAATTGCGAATAGTATTGTAGTGAGGGGCATGTGTGTTTTACACATTCTTCAAGAAAGTTTCCGAATCCTTCATCGTGGTGTGAGATAGGAAGAGGTAAATCAAAACATGTCTGATGTGAATAGCAGTGGGAACAAACATATCGTTTCAATTACAGATGAGGAGCAGGGAAGGAGATGGGGACTTGTTTATATGGAAGGTTCTTATCACCTTGTTATTCACTAAAGTCGATATCATACACAGCCTCCATATACGAGAACAGTGATTAAACAAACAGAGTGACAAAGACTTTCCCGCCAACCTAATATTCACCTACAGTATCTGAATGGAATTCAGCATCGTGTAAAGTATTGCGAAAAATGCATTTCAAAGATTTCTTTTTTTTGTGAACACTCTAGAGCTTAACCGTAAACACTCTAATAGAAGGTCACCATATACTAGCTCTTTAAGCTCAATTAGCACAGTTGCTATAAGAGACATCAAAGTTTTGTCTAATGAGAAAATGTTGTTGACATAATAACAAACATTTATTAGTTGGCAAGTTTTTTGTTAGCTTTTATAAGAATTGAGATAATTGAGCTCAAGTAAAGGATCTATTATTTTAAATTTTACGATATTTCAGTTTTGAACCATTTCCATTATTATTGAGTCTGAAAATTTTAATTCACCAAATCGAATCAGCACAAAATCTTTATATCAATTGCGGGCTTTTCAGGCAACCGTTTAGCCAATATCCAGTGACCTAATAAATGATAACGAATGTTTTTAATTAACAAAAAGTCTTTCTTGAATCCTAAAAATAACCCGCTACTCTGTGTCCATCTTTTTCTACAAATTCTTCCCCTTGAGACTTGAAATTTGCCACCCGAACTAAACCGACATTCGACATTTTGGTCTCATTGTCAAAACTTCACTTCTTCGTATTTTTTTTCTGCTGAGAGAGCAAATGACCAAAAATAGACTAACAAGTTAAATGGTTGGAAAGGCGGGAAAAGTTAAAGTTTAAAGTCTTCAAATCCGGGCGGAGGGAGTCTCACAAAAAAATGGCAACAGATCTCCGCTTGTTTCTTTCTCTGTTGTGCTCAGCATCTTTTTTTTGTCGGAGAGAAAAACCTCTCGCTCAATTAGTTCAACAATCTGATTGCAACTGAGTCAATCTTCGAATCTTTCGGAGCACAGGCAACAGCTACGGGCGGCTCGATTCTAGAAATAGAGCGGCGGAGCTCATTTACAATAGGAAAACATAGAATGGGGAAGAGGAGGATGTGTGAAACAAATCAAATCAAAGAAGTCGCCGTTTCGGAGGGGGATTTTATCCCATCCAGACACATCTAGTGGTTGTTTTGGTGGAGGAGGATGCATGTTTTGAGGTAAATGAATCGTCTTCTTTGAGAGCCTCTTCTTCTTCTAAAAAATCTTTTTCCTTCCAAACCTGAAAACCTCTGTACCCCAACCAATATTTACACACATTTCGAGACGTCATCAAGAAGCGGTTGAGGGGAAGGGGAGGAAGAAGAAAACGTGTAGAATACAAACACAATTGGGTTTTGGAACTGGGGCGAGAAAATAAATATAAAAAAGAGGGTCCTCCTTTTTTGATGAGAGCACGGCGACGCTGGAGCAAAAGCAGCGGTCAAGAGATGAAAATAACAAGAAGAAGGGTTTGGTTCTTCTGGAGAAAACTGGGAAAAACGAAAAAAGCAAAATGAGCCCAAGAAAACAAGAGTCAGGTTTTATTTTTCAAGCAAAAAAATAGGTTCTTCATTAGGGGGATGATTCTCAAATTTCGAGAGCATGATTTATCTATTTCCACTCGTTTTGCAGTTTTGCAAAATACTCATTTTGGGTAGGCACCACGTTCAAATCCTGACCAAAAACGTTCATGATCATACTGTCACGAGACTGTTGAACTTTCTTTCGTTGCAATTTTCGACATATTTCCGGGAGTTCTGGAATAGAAAAAAAATAACGTGAACCTGCAATAGAAGGGCCTCTTCACTTTTTACTTCGAGCCAATTTTTCTCGGTTCCTGTCAAAGATATAAACAAGTTGACACTTCGTCGATATCTTGTATAGGAATTGAGATAACTGACCTCAGAATTGAGATAACTGACCTCGACAGTGTGGGGGCACCTTCTATTACAGATTCCACGGTATTAATGAACAATTATAATTAAAAGCTTACGTCTCCTATAAGATCTCCGAAACATCATGTATAACGGGATACTGTACTCCAGAATCATTGCCACGTGGTTCAATAGAATATACGGAACGTATGTCATCATGGAATGACATTTATGATCATCAATTTCTTCTAGCCGGGTAGTTAACTCGCTGTTAAATGAATCCACAAGAGTTACCATGCTATCTAGGATGATAACAGGAAGTAGCGCTTTTCTGACTACTCTGAAAATAAGAAAAATTGAATTGACGGAAGAGCAAGATTCAGAATTCTTACATCATATTCTCAATAATCTGATATCTCATAGACAGCGAAACTTTTCCCATAAAACACAAATCTTTTTGATAACGGAGTGTGAGTGTTCGATTGAGGAAGTATAAACCAATGCATCCCTGAAACAAACTGTATTTTCAAAATCAAATTTGAATTGTCATACCAAAATAATGATAACAGTAACGACTGCTGAAACAACACACCCTCTGCATTCGAAGGATGCAAAATATACGTATCCCGTAACAGATAAGACTACTAGAACTAGGTAGAGAGACCAAGTGCGATTAGTTTCATATGAGACAGCCCAGATAGTGGCGATTGTTCTTTCTGAAAAAAGTGCATTTGGAAAAGAAGGTTTTCTAAGAATATTTACAAAAAATTATAGGTTCTAGACTTTACGAATGGAGTATACACTCTGATATAGTGCATTACATCTGAAAATTCTAGACTACCTTGAAAGAATTCTCTGAAAATTGCTACTAATTTTCAACGTCCCATTTCACAGGCATCAACTAACTAGTAAGAACTGTGACAAACAACAAAAACTCACCTATCAAACAGCAAAAACAAAGGGCTGTAATCGCCGAATACGTCAGATCATATGCAAAATAAATGAGATTCAGAGTTTCTGCAGAACCGCCGAAAAGAAACAGGAACTGACATACGGCTTCAGCGTAACCGCAGAATATGTAGCATAATAAAACGAGCCCAAAGAGAAGTCTGAAATTTCTCACGACATTCCAAAGATTTTCAATAATGTCTTACCCGAAGAAAGGGTGGTTAGCTTTTCGGATCTTGAAGTGAACAGCCAGTAAAGTGGCGAACAAGGTCGCTTCGATTATAATCAAAAGAGCATAATATGTTCCTATCGCTCTCTGTGTTAATTTCTCTACATTCACAGTCTGGAAGTTTCGATTTCACATTTGAACCTAATCGATGACGTCACTTACCACAATATAATGATTCCGAAGCATGACAGTCGTGCAGTTGGATGGGTTTGTTGCCATTTCTGTCGCTTGGATAGAATACATTTCGACTGGAAAGAAATCTTGAAACAAGAAAAAGAAGAAGCAAAAAATGAAATGTGTTGAAGTGAAAACAGAAAATCGTGTGCTTCGTCGTCAAGAAGACGAAGAAGAAGAAACGAGCAACTAATAATAGGATGGATCAGAAGGTATATGTCGAGTGGCACGAGGACGAAACCTAGTGTGGTTTTCGAAAAGTAAGATGTTAGAAAATTGGTTATCAAAGATTTAGGTTTTTACAAATAACACTGAATAAAGGTTATGTGGGAATTTTCTGTTGTTGGTGATGTTGAAAGAGTGGAAATCTTGTTGAACTTTCTTTAGGCTTGCGTAGCATATGGAGAAAATTCCAAAAAGGTTTTTCAGACGTTAGATCTTACGAAGCTCAAAAGGTCAAGTCAGTTCTTCAACTAGGTATACTGCGGTTCCACTAATAGAATGCCACCTGAATCGTCCACTTTGAGCTAAATTATCCCGATTTTTGTGAAAGATATTGAAAAGTTGTAAACTAACAAAATATTTTCGATAATGATGAGCAATTTATTAGTTAACACATTTTTCATTTCTTCGACAGGAGCCAATAAAAGCTCAAATTTGAAAGATAACGGCACCGTCCATCACATGTTTCAAAGGAAATTGGATCCAATGATAGGAGCTGCTTTAATTTTCAAGGAAGTTTTTCAGATGTCAATAAGCGTTCGAAGCTCAAAACGTTAATTCAGTTCCACTAGACATATTTCATTGTATTGACTATTTTTAGCACACATTTCTAGTATTCCAAAAATATAATATCCTAGTTAAGTATGTAAATTTGATAAATGTTCCGAGTAAAATTCGCCGAATACACCGTTAAAGAACTAACAATAAGGTGGGAAAAAATCAAATAATATTTTCCAGTTCGAAAAAAGTTTGACAAAAGTGTGGCTCCTGACCTAACGCTAGTTTTGAGAAATCTAGTCGAGCAATTCTGATAAGCTCGCTGGAACTTAATCAATAAATAGAAAGGGCAGAGACTACAAAATTAGCTACACTGATTATCTTTCCGAATTTTGAAATTGAAATTTCAGCGTCTGTTTTGACTCCGAGTTCACCTGAACCTCAAGTCTTTTCCAGACTACAAAAAACCCAAAAACAAGAAGTTTGAGATATTGCTCTTTTTTAACATACCGTCTGTTTCATTTAGATATAGTATTGTCATGTGTGTGAGTGAAGATTAGAAATAGAACGAAAACACAGATACTAAGAATTTTAACATACATAAATCATAGCTCGAAAAGAAAAAAGAAAAACAAAAAATTTGGCCTCTAATTCAATTTACTTTCAATTCCGTGTATAACTACTATAATTTTTTTATTGGGGCAAGAACAGAAATCAAATTGGATGGAAAATGAAAAGAAAGAGAGTGTTAGTAAGATTATAAAGTAGTTGAATATTTTTCAAGTTGTCCAATAAATATCTAGATGGCTGGAAGTCTGTCCAAATTCTCATAAAGCTCTTTTCGATGGGGCATGAAATGGCGACGAAGCATGTGACCAACAATATGGGCGATAGAGGAAATCGCCAAAACGACGCCACAAAAAACGGTTGAACGGTGTTGGAGAGATTCCGAAAGTGTTCGTTTTCTAGTCCGCTCGCAGAGATAGACTGAAAATGTCATTATTTTTTGTGGTTAGATAGACAAATATGAGATATTTTCACGGAAAACAGGTGGTTTTGTAGCTTAGTCTTTGGTTTTGCTGACTTTTGTGTAATTGGTCAATATCAAAAGCTTTCTAGCTTTCCGGAAAATGTGCCAGAATGTGTTTTTTTTCAGATACTTTGAAACATCTTGTTCGGGGAGACTACACACTGTCATGGTTGAGCTAATTTTTCTTGGCTCCAATGCAAGATTTCAAAATTGTGTCAACTGGGCAAACACTCTTGATGTTACGATAAACAATTTATCAGTTGACAACTATTTTATATCTCTGACAGGAACCGAGAAAAATTAGGTTAGTTGGAAGAAGTTAGGGAGCCCTTCTACTACAGGGCTTACGGTAAACTTACAATTACTCTTTGGACCATAGGGTTGAACATCGATTTCAGGGGAAAACATAACGAGAATAGGGAAGCTGAAGAAAAATGTAATTTAATTCTGTTGACGAAAATATTTGACTTGCTCAAAGTTCTCACTGTGAAGAGTCACATTGATACGATCCTCGCAAACGTATTTTTGAGTCAGAGGAGCCGAGAAAATAACCGAGGAGTTATCAGATTCGAAGACCGCAGAACTTCCTAAACACTTGCATTTGGATTGTTCTCGAACTCTAAAAAATACCTGCAAACTTTTCGACATAAACCACTTTGTTCAGTATCCATCTCAACTCGTCAACACGCTTGACTCGCATCTCTTCCTGTAGAAATTAAAACTGCACTACCGTAAACCCTGTAATAGACAGAAAACCAGAAAATTTAGCCCACAGCTAAAATTTAGAGAGCCCTTCTAATACAGGTTTTACGGCATATTATATGAAGAGTTTCAAAAACTAGAAAATGAAGAATTTCCAAGAAGCTCTTTTACATATTCACCGTGCGAAATACAAATTTCAGCGTTTTGAGTCTTCCGTCTGCTTCCTCAATGGTAGAAGAAATCACTGCCTCGCTTTTCCGATCAGCCGCACATTTTCCTTTAATAACACCAGACGGAAGATGGAACTGAAAATTACAGAATATCATATTTGAGAAGGCCAATGATTCGTAGGGTACAACGATTTTGGGTTCATTGGAGTGAAAAATAATTTAAAGGTGCAAAATCCTCGATTCGTGGGTGGAAAATACCTGAAAACTTTCAAATTTTGTAACCCCGAATTGTTGAACCGTCAGAGTTATGTGCCGTTTGAAAAAAAAAAGCCCCCTGCAACTTACATCAATTGGAACACTGTTGTTATTCTGCTCGTTCAATATTTCAACTTGAAATGTGACGCTCATACAGGTTTCTCCCTGAAAAATCTATTCGGTTTCAGATTGCCTTTCCAGCCTAACTCACGTCTTCTTTCTTCATTCCAATCGTTTGATTTTCAAAGACGAAACTTGTCTCAGCAGTATCACCAAAACTTAAATTCATTATCAGCAGTATGAGAAAAAATAACAT